CAACTGGTCTGCATTTGTTAACTAAACAGAAAAAGAGGAACTAAGATAACAGAAGCCAACAACTTTTCTTTACTTCTGAGGTTGACTGGCCGGCTGCAGTAAGGATAGGGCTCCCGTATCATTTATTTTTTTAATTGTACTATTTATTTGTAGACATTGGGGTACTGTATTTCCTTTATGAAAGAGCAAAGCATGTTTCAATAATTATGTTAGGTATAATGAAACATCACATAGTCACGATAGTCACATGTAGCAGTTGCATTCATATTTCTGTGCATCTTTTCCAACTGAAATCTGAAGCACTGCACAGCCCTATTAGTGAATAGGCAAACAAAATGGAACATATGAATATCTGGCTTTAGTAAAGGACTCTACTATTCATACAGCACTAGCTGCAATCTACAAACTATTCTCAAAGGAACTTTCAAGTGAAGTGTACAAAACAAACTCAGTGATAGCTGTGCTATGCTACATTTAGCAATGTAGTGTATTACAGTATTAGTACTAGTAGCAACAGTATAATAGCATTATAGCAGTATTATGTTATTGTGACCTTGTACCCTACTGTTTGGGCAAAGAGATCTCAAGGAGCACACAATATAGAGCTTTGTTGTCCATGAAATTGTTATCCACCAGTGTTAATGGCATTGGTATGGCATTTTTATGCTTGATGGTTTAATATCACATATATGCATGTGGAACATATGGTTCTAACATGTTAATTGTTGTCTTCTTTAAGTCTCCAGAGAAGAGTCTTGCACCCTGAAAATACTTCCAGAGGTCCAGCACTTGTTCCCAATGCAGTCCTTGTTACAGCTGCTTTGCAGCAGATTCATGAGGAAAGGTGGAGGGTAGGACCATTTAAAAAAAGTCAAGATGGTGGCTGCAATATGAGTCAAAACTCCACCTTTTAGTGCAGTCTTTCTCAACCTTAGCAACTGTAAGATGTGTGGACCTCAACTGTCAGAATTCTGTAGCCAACATGCTGACTGGAGAATTCTGGGAGTTGAAGTCCACACATTTTAAAGTTGCCAAGGTAGAGAAACACTGCATTAGTTCATTGCATTTAATAATTCTATCATGCTTCACATATTCACCCTGCCCACCAACACCAACAGTCCAGAAATAGCTGGACTGAACATGGGAGCCTAACAAGAAATGGGAGCCTAACAAAGTGGGAATCTGGTAGGCTGTTTGTTTGTAAAATATCTGGGATTTACAATCATAGACACCAAAGGCATCTTTAAGTAGCTGACTATTAGTGTCTTCCAGATGAGTTGGACTGCATCTTCCATTGCTCCTACTTGATGGAGTTATTTCCAAACAAGCATGTTTTGGACTGCAGAATTATATTGGAATCAGTCATTTTCAACATTGTTTATGATCATTACAGGATTCCTTGCTACAAGGCAATAGAAGCTAGAGCAGGGGTAGTCAACCTTGGCACTTTTATGACTCGTGGACTTCAACTCCCAGAATTCCTGAGCCAGCTAAGCTGGCTCAGGAATTCTGGGAATTGAAGTCCACGAGTCATAAAAGAGCCAAGGTTGACTACCCCTGAGCTAGAGACTACTTGGTACCAGCAGAGTAACAAAAATCCAAATGCTGAATAGCTGCATTTAAATGACTCATTTTGTAGCATGACTTGCAGGCTGCTTTTATGTGGCATATGTATGCTATGGATGGTTGAGTTTGGCTTAGTATGTTGCACAAACCTAGCCTTGTGAATTTAAACCATGGATATAGCTTAGCATTTACAAGACCAGATGGCTGGGATTTTTTTCACTGCATCATGGTTTAAATTTATGAATATATTTGTGAATACATTTTGAATATAGCTTCAATATGTATTTCAGTGTGCAATTGCCAAATGCTATACTGGTGACAGTTGAGTCAGTTCTTAAAAGAAACAGGTATGAGAAGATTCTTGTTTATATTTCAGCTGATAGTATCACACTCAGCCATCAAGAGATATGGCTTACAATACTGTTGTACAAACCAGACCATTATGGTTGATTCAAAAAATCATGTTTAAAGTAGAAATTGTGTTTTATGTAAATGTAGCCATTGATGTGTTCACACACTGCACTAAGCCACAATCTAACTGTGGCATATTGAAAAAGAATTTTGGCTTAGTCTAAGCTAAACTCATGGTTTACAAGTCACAGTGACTGAACTCACACAACATGCTAAATCCAAAACTAATGAACTTCAATATCACTTAATGATGTAGGAATTCAACCCTGGCAGGACTTCTGCAAAGACATAATCCCTACAACTATTTGCATGTCAGCCATCTTATGTAACCGCTTTGACCAAGATGGTCACTGATTATATTATACATTAACAAAACTAATAACAATACTATAAAAATATTTTATCAAGAAACGCTATAAGATCACAGTTACAAATATTGAGACAAGCAAAGAAGTTTTGTTTCTCTTTAATGCTACTTAATGGTTGCCTGGACTTTTTTGCAGCCCAACTCTGATAGCCCTACCAAATACTTAAATATTTTAATGTTACTAGTTCAGTGGTTCTCAACCTTTTTAATGCCACGACCCCCAACTGGTCATAAGTCGAGGACTAAACCGGTCGTAAATTGAGGACTACCCAACCGGTCGTAAGTTGAGGACTTTCCCTGCCCGGGAGCACCGCGCATGCATGGTTCCGCCCCCTGTGCCGGCTGAGGTGTAGCTGGCAAGTGGCAGAGACGGAGCAGGCCGACCACCAGCTGGCCCAGCTCAAGGGAGGTAAGGCACCCGCCGGAAAAGGGGGAAAAATGGCGGACAGCCTTGCTTGGCGACCCCCGTGAAATGGTCGATCGACCCCAAATGGGGTCGCGACCCATAGGTTGAGAACCGCTGTACTAGTTAATCAAAACTTCACAGTAATAATATTATGTCACTTATCATGAGATGGGCAGCTATGTAAATTAGATACAGAAATAAAAATACTTGTCTATATTTTAAGGTAGTTATAAAAATAAGTGAGCCAAAACAAATATTTTAGATATTTGGGAAACATGCTTCATAATTTGGTGAAGAGTAAGGTTTGCATACCAAATTAGAAGTATCTCCCTGAACCAGGATGAGGGATTTCTGCCTCAACATGCCCTAAAAAGTATTATTTTCTTATTATTTACTTCGTCAGGACTAACTTGAGTCAAGTTGAGATGTAAGTACCACTATTGTAATCTTAATTGGACATGCTCTTTTCTTCCAGACCTTAATGTGTTTTTTTATTTTCTGATAGCACAATCCTATCCATTTCTCCTGAATGCATTCAAAATGTTATGATTTTATTTTTGATAGAGTAACTGCTTTGAGAATATATTTGAAATATTTTTGAAAAGGCAGGACGAACATCCCATCATTAAAACCCAAATTATTATTTCCCAAAAGGTCCCCCCAACTCTTCAAGCTGATTTGGCCCTCTTGTCCACATAACAATGTCCAGGTGAGGGCGATTTGGATTTATTTGCACTTCATGCTAAACTATTTTTAGAATGTTAACTAAAGTTGGAGAAATGGGGAAATATGCAAGTTAATGATAATTTATTTCATTTTATTAAATTTTAAAACCGCCCCTCTCCCTCATACAATGTTACGAAAGAGGAACATTTGTTAAAATAAACTGAATAGGTGTGTATTAGAGCAAGCTTCTGTTCACTTTGTTACACGGGAGTGATTTCAGGAGAAACACGCCTAACCAACATTGTAGGAAGGGGGTTCTCCAAAAATGAATTGGACGCCGCATAAATGTGGACTGAATACAAAAACCTAGTTACCAGAACGCCGAAGTGGTTTACTTACAAACCAAATGAATGATGATTAAATCACAAAGCGAATCTATCTAAACGATCCGGGAGAAAAGAGACCTCGACGAAAACCCGACTGGACTAGATGGAACTGATGAGATCCTGAAGAAATAAAAAGGACCGAGACGCAAATAATAAAATGCAGGACATGAGGCGTGTATGGCCGCGTTGGAAACAAGCACCTTTGCCGATAGAAAAGGTACATAGAAGACGATCCGGCTCTTCTTTAGCTACGTTTTCCTCATTTCACGCCTTTAATTATTCCGTTTCTGGCTCCCTTTGTGCGCCATGCGTAGCGTTGCTCGGCTAGGAAAGGAAGAGCGCGACCGTCCGGAAGGCTGCGGTGCGTGTCGCTTTGAACGCCCTGCGTGGAGCGGACCCTCTTTTTGAGAACTGAGAAACCCTGCTTGGTGCCTCAGCGTGCCAATGAACAGAGCTAATCCTGGCTTAAACCGCAAGCGCGTTCAAGCAAGCTACGGCTCGGCCCGTTGCACCAACCTATCCGCAGCAAGGCTACGCCGGCCCGGGATTCCAGCAGCTTTCCCCCCCACCCCCGCCTCCCGCCACCGCCTCCCGCCGCCATCTCGTTCAACCGCGGGGCGGAGAGACCCCAATTCAGCTGCTCCGCCGCCAGCTGGACCTCCGTGCCGCGCCGGATTGGCGAGAGCGCCTCTCCATTAAAGCGGGCCCAGCCAGTCGCCAGCCTCCCCCTTCCCCTTCCCCCTGGGCGTGCGGCCGCTTCTGGCGAGGAGGAAGAGGCGCTCGCGGTGGGAGGAGGCTCGGCGGTGTCAAAGGGGCGGCGAGCGTTTCGCGGCTCCTGAGGGGGGGTCGAGCCTCCGCTCGCAACATCTTCGCCGGAGGGCACCGCTGGCCGCCGCTTCCCGCGGCTGAGGAGGTCCGCGCTCTCCCGCTGCTGCTCGGCCTCCTCGATGCGCGGAGGCAGGCGGCGGCGGCGGCGGCGACCACGACGCGGGTTTCGTTCGCTGCCTGCGCGCTCCGGGCGGCGAGCAGCCGAGCGGGCACGCCAGCCGTCGGCCGGCTGCCTCTAATCTGCCCCCCCAGCGCTGCCCGCGCTCCCGGCTGCTCTGCGCCCTCGCCCGCGCTGCCCCCTCGCCTTTCTCCCCGCCCCTCCCGGCCAACGGTGCTGCTCGCCAGTCAACTGTCTTCATGAGCCCCGAGGATGTCCGGAAAGCATTATAAAGGCCCCGAAGTGAGCTGCTGCATCAAATATTTCATCTTCGGCTTCAACGTCATCTTCTGGGTAAGGCGGTCGTTTTTGTTTTTGTTTTTATTTTGCTTCGGGTCGAGGCAGCTGTGCGTGATGGTGCGGTTTCTGCGTGGAGGGGTAGATCTGCGCGGAGGGAGAGCCGGGAGCGAACGCGCGTGGCCGTGGAGCACGATGAATCGCCCCCGGCAGGTTGAAGGCGTTTGGGGGGGTCTTTGTCTATAGGCAGAGAGGGGCTAAGGTCGCCCTAGGAAATCTGGACAGTTTCGTGGAGCCTTTTATTCCCTTCGAAACCCTGGATTTGCTTTTCCTGACTGCCTCGTCTCCTCTTCCCTGAGGTTTTTTGGGAAAGCAATGCCCGGGCTGTGCTTTTTGTCCTGCTTTTGACCAGGTAGACCTGGTGGTAAGGTGTGGGCCTTCTCCCCAATTTTAGGCCTTCCTTGCTTCCAGTTATTATTTATTTAAAAATAGGCCTGTAGAAAGCAACTGTTCTACTTTATCAAGAAGCCCCAGAAGCTGTGGTCTTAAAAAAAAGGATTATGCAATGCATAGAGAAGTGAAAAAGAGGTTTTGTTGGGTTTCTTCTAATTCCATGGAAGAGCCCTAGAAGGGAACTTACCAAGCCACTGCATGTTTTTATGTGTGTCTAGAATAAGGCAAGATTAGAGGTAGCATTTTTTTGGAGAGTAAACATTTTTTCAGGCAGGGGGTATCTATCCACCTGGCACCCTCCAGATGTGCTTGATAATCTTAGCATTGATGATCTTACCTTGTTGGATAATGATAATGCAAGCAAACATTATCAGTCTCGGAGACCACTAAGGACTTCACATGGATAATCTTATTGAACGTCTGGAAAATTATGTTGGTTGGAAATTGTGAATCTGAGATTTGTAGTTGATCAGAGTCATTGAGAGTTGGGCAGCCATAAGTTTAAACTAGTGTTATTACCGTATATCTAGAGAATGCCAGGTTGGGAAATTAGATGTATGCCAAGCTTATTACCCTCCTGTCTGACCTCCTTTAATTGGCTTTCTGGCTGTATGATAAATTGGTGCTGTGTGCTGAAATACCACAATACTTCTTCCCTACTTTCTCCCCTGCTTGTTCTTGATTTATCAAAAATAAAATTAAAAACATATTTTCCCATTATTGTTTCCTAAATTGGGTTGCTAGGAGAAGAGACAGTTCATGCAAAATGTCAGAACTTGGATGTTGGTTGATGGTATACATATCGGACCATTTTTTTAGCTTTTGAATTTTGGGTGGGCTGGACTGAAAATACTCCTGCGGGGGATAAGAATGTACACCACCATATCTGGAGACCCTTAGGTTGGGAATGTGTGCCAAAATCAATTGTTAGTAAATAATGTTGTTTTGTTCAGGGTACTTGGCTTGTAGAAGACCATATTCCATGAAATCTGCTAGTGGTTGGTGCATTACATAAAGGAAATAGATTTTGCATTAAGTAATCATACATAGTAAAGGTACACAGAATTGCATTTGAATGACTGTGAAAGCAATCTGGACAAAGTCTTCCACTGCTGTATGAGAAAATTCATTAAAAACCGTTCCCCTCTGTTATTATATATTGAAATGAAGGAAGTGCCAAGCTTTGATTAGTTTTGGCATTCTGGTCAAAAGTTAATGGAAATGTGGCCAGTGGCCTAAGACAAGAGAAAGGTGCTAATGTTGTTATTCAGTCTGTCCATTGAGAAAAAACCTTCAATCATGTAACAATCTGGGCTCTTGTCCAGAAAAGCTTTTGCTTTTGTAAATGTGAACATTTTGATATTGCAAGATTCTTGCTTGTTAGTGGTCTCATCCTGGAAAATAAAGGCCAAGTTTGTATAAGTCCTTTCTAGGAAGCCTAATGCTCCTATAAAGGCAGATAAATACGTGGTTTTGCTAGAAGCCTGGGACTCTTGTCTTGTGAAAACCACACTGGATTTATCTAAAGATTTCCAAATGTGTAAAAGTTTTGTTGTTACTGTTTACATCAGCTTTGAAGAATAGTATTAGCTATGCTATCAACCCTGCCTTAAATTAGTATTCTGATATGACTGTATTTAAAAATGTCCTAGATTGAGTCTGAAATTATTTTTAAAGGACATCTGGATCATTGGTTGTAGCCTTGTAAGTGTATGTATCTGTGCAATTGCATTCTGAAGAAAGTGGTGAATTTAGAAGAAACCTAGACCATTCTGAGAAAATACTCTTGAATTTTGATTATGTGTCATCAACTTGGTGTTGTTGACTCTTAGCAACCACAGAAATGGATTTTTCTCCATGATGATCCTGTCCTTAACTAGTATTAATCTGGGCTCTGCACTGGCCGGATTTTTGAAGACTGATCATGATTTTCACTTATTCAGCATTGTTGCAAGGTGGAACAGTCACTGAGCAAATGGACATTAAACAAGGACCACCTATACTTCTAAATCTTACACTTGTACTCCATTAATACATGATCAGCAAGTACCATCTGAGAGCCAGTTTGGTGTAGCATTTATTTAAGGCATCAGGCTAGAAACTGGGAGACTATGGAGTTCTAGTCCGTCTTAGGCACAAAGCCAGCTGGGTGACTTTGGGCCAGTCACTCTCTCTTAGTCCTGGGAATGAGGCAATAGCAAACCATTTCTGAAAAACCTTGCAAAAAAAACCTTGCCAAAAAAACAGGGATATATCCAGATGGTTTCCAAGAATCAGACATGATTGAATGGAAGGGGGGGAAAAATCATCTGGCTATTTATAGTTCCTAATCTGGTAAAATGTTACTGATAGGCTGCAAAATCACTTTCTAATTGGCTTAGCTGTTTCATGTCAGGGAATGGATGAGAATGTAAATTACAAAGTTAACGAAGAGTCTCCGTTATATCAACATAAATTTCGTCTGCATTCTGCAGGCTTGCTAAACGCACAACACATTTTATATGCAAATTTTATTTGCATTTAACCTAAGGCTAGTGTAAATATTTAGATTTACTTTTACATGTATCATTTGCTTGAGCATTATTAGCATGTAAACTTATGAATCTGACACTGTAACTTATGAGTTAGAGACAGCTCAGGCCATGACTGTGGCCTGAGCTGTCTTCCTGCATTTGGCTTGTCTTGAAAATCCTAGGATGATTATATCTGTAGGGGCAATGACACATTTGAATAGGTACATTTAATCCTAAACTGAAATGCTTGTGTAGGCTTCACAAGTTGGAACATGCTATGCTTGTATTAATAATACTCCCTTTAAAGCCTTAAAATAATTGCATTAGTGAGAGGATTGCATTCACTTCAATTTACTTGCCTCCATGCTGAAAACATAATTAGAGGTTTTATTTGTATGTCCAACTACTAGAAAAATTAGACTGGTATGTACAAGGAATAAATTTTGTGATTAGAAACCTATCTAAAAGCAGGAAAGGGTTTTATTTTGGCAGCAGAATCAGGTGACATGTCCATGGTGTGTGGATTGAATCACAATTGCATTTTCTAGTTTACGTGTTTTCTAGTGATTGAAGTAGGTTGCCCTTTTAATTTAAATTAAATTTTCTTTGTAAGTGCATAATATATTTAACGTAGAATTTGAACCTTTGTATTTTATATTTTTAGTGCATTATGTTTAAAATTTGCTTAGAGAAAAAGGTTGCATTTATAATGGAGAGGAAGACCAAGCATAGACCTGTTTGGGAAAGGGAGGAGTTTAATTGTAATTGTCATTTCCCATGTCAGTCAAGGCTGACTGCTGAAAAACGGGCATGTCTTCTAACCACAGTTGGCACCAGAATTTCTGTTGCTAAGCAAGGTGGTGGTTAAATGAGTCACAGCCAACTTTATGACCCTTTTTTTGTCCCAGTAAAGTGAATCATGTGGTTGATAAGTGAACCCAGCTTCCCCCATTGACTTTGCTTGTCTAAACTTGCTGGGAAGGTTGAAAATGGTTGATCATGTGACCTTGGGATACTGCAACTGTTGTAGAACATGCCAGTTGCCAAGTGCCCAAATGTTGATCACATGACTGGGGGAAGCGGCGATAGTTGTAAATCTGAGGACCATTCATAAGTAATTTTTTAAAGTGTTGTTGTAACTATACAACCCATTTGAATGGTTGTAAGTTAAGGACTATTTGTAGGATGTTAGCTTAAGAGGCTCTGCAGAAGGTTAGAAATTTTTTAAAGGGTCACTGCAGAAGACTTGCATTTTTGTACCAGCCAAATATTTTCAGAAGCTAATATGGGTTTTCTTTCTGCCTTTTCTAGCAAAAAAACAACTTTACCTTAGAGAAACTAATTGGGAAAAAATCCTAATGCTTTTCTGTAGATCAGTTAATAATAGTACTTGCTTAAATTGAAATATATTTTAATAAAAGAGATTAGAATGATAATTACATTTGATTTGGGAAGTTGCAGTTGACATTCTTAGTGGCAATGCAGTTGCTCACCTACTTTGTAAATTTTAGCTGAATTGCGTAAACCATGAAATAAAAATAAGGAATACAGAATAGCAGAGTTGGAAGGGACCTTGGAGGTCATCTAGTCCAACCCCCTGCTCAAGCAGGAAACCCTATACCATTCCAGACAAATTGCTGTCCAATCTCTTCTGAAAAACTTCTACTGATGGAGCATTCACAGCTTCTGGAGGCAGGTTGTTCCACTGATTAATTGTTCTGTCAGAAAATTTCTCCTTAGTTCTAGGTTGCTTCTCTCTTTGATAAATTTCCATCCTTTACATCTTGTCTTTCCCTCAGGTGCTTTGGAAAATAGGTTGTCTGCCCTTCTGTGAAAAATAACATGGTTACAGGTTTTTTTTTATTAGCTTTCAGGATTTGATGAAAGACATAGTGCAGAACACTTCTTGAATATATATTTTGCTGTTTAGTTAAGACAAACCGCATCTATTTTCCATTTCAGTAACATTCCTTAGCAAGGTGACTTACATTTAAGAAGCCAAGTCTAGCTGTCCACTCTTCTCATAATTGTTTTACTGATAAACAGCAGGAAAGGAGAAAAACAAAACCCTACAGTTTGAAATTTAAAATG